GTGTGTGTGTGTGTCTGTGTGTGTGTACGTACTCCTTACTCTCTCCAGTAACAGTGACATATGGACAGTGCTCCATGGAGACAGTAACGCCACTTTCCCACATCCATCACACGACAGCAACAATTACATCAAACGGCTCCAGTTACTTTTTCCCAGCTGTGCACACCAACATACCACCCAATACCTGTACTCAGCTCCTTGTTCAACAGGATCATGGCTGATTGGTTTGTGTTTCAAGGTCCACATTCTCAGCCGCCCCTCAATAGCCCCTCCTGCTTAATGATCATCTGCCTGCATCAGCCTGAAAATCTACTCAATGACAGCGCCCCCCCCAACTCATCTCCACCATCTTCAGAGGCAGACAGTTCCAATGTCACAAATTCCTCCAACAGAAAAGAAAATCCCCTCATCTCTGTGCCCAAAGGGAGACCCCTCATTTATAAACAGTGTCGCCTGGTTCTGGACTGACCCACAGCAGGAAATATCATTGCCACATCTACCTGCTGAATACCAAGCCATCTCTCACTTGAGGGGGAGTGAAAGGTGGAAAGTAACATGGTGCGTTATGTTGAGGTTGTACAGGACTTTGGTGAAGCCTCTTCTAGAGCACTGTGTGCAGTTCTGGCCACCCTGTTACAGGAAGGATGTTATTAAGCTGGAGAGGGTTCAGAAAAGATTTACCAGGATGTTGCTGGGAATGGAGGGTTCGAGTTATAAGGATAGGCTGGGATTTTATTCACTGGAGTGTGGGAGGCTGAGGTCTGATCTTACAGAGGTTTGTAAAATCATGAGGGGTGTAGATAAAGGTGAATGAGAAGGGTCTTTTCCCCAGGGTGGGGGACTTCAAAACTAGAAGGCATATTTTTAAGGTGAGAGGAGAAATATTTAAAAAAGACATGAGGGCTAATTTTTTACACAGAGAGTGGTTTGTGTGTGGAATGGACTTCCAGAGGAAGTGGTGGATGTGGGTACAGTTACAACGTTTACAAGACATTTGGATAAGTACATGAATAGGAAAGGTTTGGAGGGATATGGGCCAAGCGTAGGCAGGAGGGACTAGTTTAGTTTGGGATTATGGTCGGCGTGGACTGGTTGGACCAAAGGGCCTGGTTCCATGCTGTTTGACTCGATGATTCTATAAACAGAGCAGCCATGACTGTACTGAGTGATAGAATGGGCTTGAGGGGCCGAATGGTGAAAGACTGCTCCTGTGTGATTTACTATGCCATGAATTGGTGGTGCTGTGAGACGGGTAATTGAGATTAGCTCATAGAGAAATGGCACGACTGTGGGATTGGGAACTGAAAAACACACAATGCAGCTCATAAACAGGTGAATCCAGACCCACCCCACAGAAAGGCCGAGCATACACCCACGGTCAGCCTAAATAGAGAGTGCGAATGTGCAAAGGGACTCCCAGCACCAGAGAAATCACATACCACTCTGATCAATCACTGCCTGGATCTGCTTGCTTGGTTCTGAAATGAAAAGAAAAACATTTTCTGTTCAGGTCATGTCCTTAATGCACACTTTGTCCTTGAGAGTTTGATATCCCCAAAACCCACCTACACCGAACACGGCAGTACAATTTCCAATGGCCAATCCACCCTAACCTGCACATCCTTGGACTGTGGGAGGAAACTGGAGCACCCGGAGGAAACCCACGTAGACACGGGGAGAATATGCAAACTCCACACAGACAGTCACCCGAGGGTGGGATCAAACCACTGAACCATCGTTCTGATATAGAAATGCACGCAGAGAGTGGGTAAGGGATGAGATTTGGGGACAAAGAGACAGAGAGAGAGAGAGAGGAAGAGAAAGAGAGAGAGAGAAACAGAGAGAGAGGCAGAGACAGAGAGTGAGAGAGGGACAGAGAGCGAGGTGTGTGACACACACTCACCAGACTGTCTCCTGCCTCGTCGCAGTGTTAGAGGGGTATCCATGTTCAACAGCGGGAATACTTTCTTTGCTCTCTCTGGGGTGTATATGAAGCCTGGAGGTTCTGGAATAGGAAGTAAAAACAGAATTAAAAAACATTCACTTGTTTCCAAAGGAATGGAGAGAGCTTTGCCAACTGTGTCTGGATTTATTGCTGGAGATTTCACACCAGGATCTCCCAGCTCCAAGATAACAAATCTCTTTCTTCAATTGCCTTCATCGCTCACTACTTTCCACAGTAACAATCAGAATGATTCCAAATTCCCCATCAGATTTATGGATGCTGTTCAGAGAATCCTACTGTCCCTCAGCACTGACCCTCCGACAGTGCGGCTCTCCCTCAGCACTGACCCTCCGACAGTGC